GTTAAAATTTCTGGCTAAGCAAGTAAAGGCATTTACAGCCAAGCCTGATGACTAGAGTTCAATCTCTATGATCCACATGGTATAAGGAGAGAATGGACTCCCCAAAATGGTTCTCTGACATCCACAAGTCACATACACACAACTTTTTTTAATTAAAAAAAAAAAGATGGGGAGTGGTTGAGGAAGTCACGTGACATTGACCTCTGGCCTCCACATACATGGATTTTTGCACATACACGGATTTCTGCACATACACGCACACACACACAAAAATAAAAGTAAACGACACTAACTTATAATTTAAAACTATGTTAAAATTCTTCTTAATAAATTGCAACTTTACTTCATAATACATAAATAAATGAATAAATACATAAATAGCTGGATATGATAGCATACTTCTGTAATCCAGCATTCAGGACGCAGAAGAATCAGGAATTCAAGGGCATCTGGGTGACAACATAGTGTGGCCCTGTCTCAAAACTAAACAAGTACTGAAGATATAACTCAGCACAGAGCACTTGCCTGGTATGTGTAAGGTGCTGGGTTCTATCCTCAACACAGGAAAATATTTTCATAAAATAGTAAGACTAGAATTGGTGAAATGGCTCAGCAGGATGATCAGAAGTTCAAAGTCATTCATATGAAGAACTTGATGCTTGACCTTTTACTTTTTAATTTTTTATTTATTTTTTTTATTTTATGTGTATGCATGTATGGCCTGCATGTAGGTAAGTGCAACCGTGTCATGCAATGCCTGCGGAGGTCAGAAGAGGCTGTCGGATCCCCTGGGACTGGGGATATGGACAGTTGTTAGCTGCCTTGTGGTTGCTGGGATCTGAACCCGGGTCTTCTGCAAGAACAACCAGTGTTCTTAACTGCTGAGCCATCTCTACAGCCCAATGCTTGACATTTTAAAATTCAAAGCAAAGACATGAAGATAGATAGCCACTAAAGAAATGAAGTGTTTTACATTTGAGGAAATATGATTTCGGAAGTATCAACTAGCTTATGATGGGTACTTAAAAAATATAGACATTTTAACGTTTTGGTTATTAACCTTAGCCTTTAACGGCTGCACTATCCAGACTTGAAACAGTGTCCAGTCTACAAAGAGGAGGGTAGACTCCATGCTTCCAAGCGAAGCCAGCCATGGTCAAGCAGGACCTTTGACTCATCTTCACATAGACAGAACTGGTAAAAGAAAGGAGCCAGGGGCTCCTCCCAAGCCCATGTGACCCCTGAGGAACAGATCCTCAAACAACCTTTAGAGTAAAAATAAATTGATTTATCTGGGCCAACTGCACAGCCTTAAACACCCAAAAGGAAAGTATAACCAAAGATTAAAGGGGCCAATATAATTTTTAAGAGTCTATAAGTATAGCTAAAGGCTACATAACAAGTAACAATGCCAGATAGGCGATAACCTTCATACATGTTAAAAAAAACGGTATATTGACCTTGAGCGTACAGGCCTGTAATTCAATGTCCTCAAAAGGCTGAGGCAGGAGGATCATAAGCTCTAGGTTTACTTGGTCTACAGTGTTAGTTCAAGGCCAGCCTGAGCAACTTGCTGATGCCTCAAAATAAAAATAAAAAGATGGCTAATGATATATTAATATGTCAGTTGTAGAGTGCTTGCTTACCATGCGTAAGGCCCTAAATTCAATCTCTAGTGCCATACTCAGAAAAATAATAATAAAAATAAAATAAGGACCGGTGAGATGGTTCAGCAAGTAAAGGCACTTGCCTCCAAGCCTGAAAACCTGAGCTCGATTCCTGGAATCCACCTGGTATAAGAAGAGCACCATCTCCCCCAAGTTGTCCTCTGACCTCCGCCATGACAGACACTCTGACATACACACAAATACACAAACATAGACACACAGATACACACAAAAAAGTAAAATGTGGGTTTTTATTTTTTGTTATTTTTATTTTATGTATACGAGTGTATTGGCTGCATGTATGTAAGTGCATCTGTGTTGTGCAATGACCATGGAGGTCAGAAGAGGGTGTTGTATTTCCCTGGAACTGGAGTTATGGACAGTTGTTAAGCACCAAGTGGGTGCTGGGAATCGAACCCGGGTCCTCTGCAAGAGCGGCTGGTGCTATTAACCAGTGAGCCATCTCTCCAGCCCTAAATAATTTTAAATATAAACATAAATAAAATAAAATCTAGTAATCAATATTTAAGAATATTTGACTCTGGAGTTTAGGATCTAGTAATAGGGTTCACGCTTGGTGTGTTTGAGGCCCCAGGTTCAATTTCTTACCAATACAAATAAAAGACCATAAAAATACACTGCATTACAGCTAAAGGTAGAATTCCACTATCATTTTGACTAGATGAACTTTTTTGACAGTGCTAAAGGACCTACCTAGCAAGTGACCCTGAATTCGAACCACATCTCCAACAATGATGAAAAAAAGAGAAATTAATCAGCTTTCAAATTATTGATGAACTGCTCTCAGATATGATAGTTAATATTTTAGCTTGCTGTGATAGCACATGCCTGTAATTCAAGTGCTTGGGAGACAGAGGCAGGAGGATCACTGCAAGTACAAGGCCAGCTAGGGCTATAATAATAAGACCCAGTTTCAAACACCCCACTCCAAATAAAAGTCCAGACATAAAATAGTATTTTATTAGTTGACAAGAATTGACTACTATGACTCACACTGAGGGGAAAAATCCAAAATATGCACCACAGCCTAAAAGAATAAATATAACCCACTGTCTGATTTATCTCTCATTCCCCTTTGCTCACTCTGCTCGAAGCATGCTAAGATAGATCTCCACAGTTCACAGAACACACCACACACACATTTCTATTACACAGTGTGGTTACTCTTTCCCCTACCTGACATCTCTTACTCCAGATGTCCACCTTTACGTCAAATAAATCTGTACTCAAACAGAACCTCAGTACAATGGCCTTCCTTGGCTGGTCTGTCCAAACAAGAGTCCCTACCATGTCACTATAACCCAGAATTACTCAATCAAGACTGTTTACATACTGAACTCATCATTCCATGTCTTATAGCAAAGGATCTTGTCAGTTGTGTTATAGAATATTTAGCAGCTTCCAAAAACATCCCTCTATTGGGTTCTTCCTCGTTTTTTGTTTGTCTTCCAAGGCTGAACTAGTTGGCTGGGAAGAGTGCCTGGATACTCAGGTGAGAGTCCCCTTGTCAAGAAACTCCAATGGACTCTCATATGAACATTTGGGGTGAAAATAGCCTGTTCTGACTTTTTTCTAGTTCCATGTCTAGAACGTGTAATGCTAATTACTCTTGCCTTTACTTCTTCACATCTTCTATTCACGATACAAGGACTTTCTTTTCCTCTTAGAAACAAGAATTATGCAATTTGGGAGTCTTTTAGATAGACCCACTGAAGGGGTACTCCAATTGCCTCGCCCTGCATCCCTGTTCAGCATGGAAGAAGCCAGAGCAGTCTGCATCCCTATTCCTCACTGGCAATTTGGGTAACCCCTTCAGAGGATGGCGTGATAAGAATAGGAGGTAAGAATAGGCTACGCAGTTAGGGTAAAAAGACCCCAAAGAAATGTAGCCAGTTTCTGGGCTAAAAGTCAAAATGTCCTTGGGCCTGTTAGCAACATACTCTGTTCCAAAGGTCAAAAATGTCAAAAGTATTTGGGAGCTTGTATCTAATCCTTAAAAGATTTTAGGGTTGCCTCTTCAGAGGGGGGGGGAATGTTGGAGAGGAGGGAGTGGGCATATATTTGATCCAAACACCTTATATACATGTATGAAATTCTCAAAGTTTTTATAAAAGTCTCAAAAAGGCCAAAAAAAATTTAAAAAAAGGAAAAAGAATATTTAGCAGCATCCATAGTCTCTACTTACTGGATTCCTGGAACTGTTTCTCCCAACTCAAGATGTGGGAATTAGAAATGTCTTCAGCTAGAGCTGGCTATTGTGGTGCATACCTATAATCCCAGCACACAGGAGACTGAGGCAGGAAGATCGCCACAGGTCATGACAAGTTCTAAAAATTAAGTGTCCAGACACTTCTGAATTTCTCCAGGGACGGGGGAGTGAAATAACTCCTGGTATAACCCTTTTTCCTACTTTAATTTTCATCATCACAGTTATATTCATACTATTATATTATGTTGCACTTACTGTTCTATGTATGTATTGTGGTTAATGTGGGTTCCATTTCTGTAAGACTTTCCGTGGTTTCTTTGGTTCTGTGAACAGTACCTGATAGAGCCTTTAAGTCCATTCCTTAGTCATAAATCCTTTCCACAACTGATGGCATGGTCGTCTTCAATCATTTCCCTATGCAGTGCATTTCTTCCTTCGATTTTAATTTTCATATTTGAGATTGTTGGTGAAAGTGAAAATTTACTCACTAAAATGTGTAATTATTAGCATTTTCTTCTCAATAACCCAGCCTGCGGTCATTCATCATGGGATTTTGTTCCATTTTTCATAGTTTCAGAATGAGCATCACTCATTTAATCTGAAATTAGACCTGAAGGCAGTTTCTTCTTGTCAACTGTGCTTTGCGATAGAATCAGTGCTAAAGCATTATACTTCTTTTGTATAAATGAGAGAATAAGGATAAAACTCCCGAATAGGTACAGTAGAAATTGTGTTAGATCATGGTAGAGTTTTCTTGATGTATAAAATATTATTTTTTAAAGTTCTCTCAATTCTGTGATTTCAAAAGAGTTTTATTATCATAAAAGTATATTATCTTATAAACAGGGATACTACTTTCAAGTAAAACTGCTTACCATATTGTTTAAAATACAAGATACATGATAAAAATAAAACCTTATCCTTTCATTTAAAATATATATTCCCTTCCAAACATCCTTATGTTCCAAATGGTAAGAAAAGATTGTAATTAAATGAGCTTCGTGAAATAATAAATATGTATGATATTCTTAATGAACGTATTTCTCCTAATTTTCTTCCTGTTTTATGTTTGATTGTTTGCCTTGTTCTTCCTTTTTACAAAGATCTCAACAGCAATGGATTCATTTGTGACTATGAACTTCACGAGCTTTTCAAGGAAGCGAATATGCCATTGCCGGGATATAAAGTGAGAGAAATTATTCAAAAACTCATGCTGGATGGTGACAGAAATAAAGATGGGAAGATAAGTTTTAATGAATTTGTTTATGTAAGTATGTGAAAAGAATGTGTGATCATTAGAATTTGTGATTATTTCATTGTCTGCTGGGATCTTGCAGTAAATGCCTAAATAGTTCATATTAATACTGCAGTACTAGTAACATTTCTGTCATCCTGCCCATGAAACTTAGTTCCTTCAGCACTAAAATATCTTAATAAAAGAAAGAACACTGAGAGAAACAAAGCTGAAACACAATGATCTCTGTGGACAGAGAACACTCTCCTTCCTTCAGGGGCATCTTTCAAGGTGCTGAATGACATCCTTGAAGCATTCTTTCACTCTCCCATAGAGAATGGTGTGCTCCACGATTTTAATGATACACCCTGACTTCCAGTCTTAGAAGCTTCCTAAGCTGAATTTTCTGGTTAAAAAGACATTTTCTAGCTTGTAGTAGTGGTATTTAACGGCACCATTTTCTCCAGGGCGATCATCTTGATAATTAAAACCTAGAAGCATATCCTTTTAGTCTGTTGGGAGAGGCATTTAAAATTTTTGTTTTCTTCTCTAGTGTCATCAAATATTCCTCAAGGATAGTGGCTTATGTCATAATTTCCCTCCACTGCAGCATTTAGCGCAGTGCCTGGAGCATGTGTAACTGGCACATGGTTCTTTATCACAGTCTGCCAGCCATTGCAGCCTAGATTTTTCTCTCTAGATATATTGAAAATTATTGCATATTTTAATAGCTATTGCTTCTCCCATTTAAAAATACCCTTAAGGTGTTTGGTTTGGCTTGGTTTGGTTTGGTTTGGGTTTGGCCTTGTTTTGCTCTGTTTGCTTTTTGAGACACAGACTGCCTTCAAATGTGTGATCCTCCCGCCTCAGCCACCTGAGCGCAGGAATATAAACATGTATACCCACACCTGGCCAACCTTAAGATTTTATGTATGTTATTTATTTATTTACTTGCGTGGTTTTGAGACTGGGTCTTGCTATGCAGCTCAGGCTGGTCTCAAATTTTTGATCCCCTGCCTCCCCATCGCTGGGATTACAGGAGTGTAGGATCAAGCCTGAGTATTTGCTTTTACTTTAAGTCTGAGTTTGACTAGATTTTATTAGGTATTACTTTCAATATACTGCAAACTAGTACTTAGTGCTTTATATTTGTCACCAAGATCCCAGTGCTCCTATCCGTCTTTCCACAGTTTATTTTGGCACCAAAATAGCTGCTTTTATAACATACGCTGTCTTCAGTTACCATGACTCACTACGGTAAATGAAATTCAGATATGTTCTCTCAGATTAGAGTGAAGTCAAGAACACACCATATGGTCAGGAAGCAAATTGACTGCATAGCGTTGTCTACTGCACTGTCAGCATTTGGTGGGTGGTGGGAGGAGGAGTACATTGCTGTTTTAAAACTACAGGCTCATGTCATAATTATAATTATATAGCTCTTGCCATTTTTATTTTGAAAAACTCACTTCCTCCTACCATTTTTGTCTCCAGTTATGGCCAAAGTCTTTGGCTTTGAATTCTGTGTTCAATAGTAAGTTGCGAATGATTTGAGATTTGAACATTGCATGTCCTTTAATGTCTCCTGATGTTACCGGCTCTTTCGTAACCGCATGTTTAGCTGTGAATTTAAAGCAGGTCAGAGCAGTTGTTAACTATGATTTTTGCTTTTGATACAACTTACAGCTCAGAATTTTCATTATCTACTGGGAAGAAGAGTCTTAACTTACTAGGATTTGTAGTATATTACTAATGTTGAGGACAAAATTATGAATGTGTCTGTGAATAAAATGATCTTGGAGAAATTTTTGTTTGTCTATTTTGAAACATTGAACACTCCACACAGATTTTAGTGGCTTTTAAGTGATGGGGTATGTTCTTAAAAAGTGAAGAAGGAGCTAGAGAGATGGCTCAGCAGTTAAGAGCACTGACTGTTCTTGAAGAAGACCCGGGTTCAAATCCTAGCACCCACATGGCCGCTAACAACTGACTGTAACTCCAGTTCCAGGGGATCCGACAGCCTCTTCTGCCCTCCGCTGCCATTGCACAACATGGGTGCACTTACCTACATGCAGGCAATACACACATACACATAAAATAAAAATAATAAAAATTTTTTTTAGTTATTTTTAAAAAGTGAAGAAGAGGCATAGTAATTTAGGCAACACCAGGGATTTTCTAAAACAAAACATTAACAAGAACATTTTAGGTTAATGTTTTAGAATTGGAAGGATTTATACTCCTATTTTTCAACTTAAAGCAAGCATATATGGGTGGATTCCTGAAAAAGAAAGTGACTTAGAACTTTAAACAACCCACCTAAAGTGTCAGGATGGTGCTTCCATGACTACCGGAAGAAGGAGGGCCATTGAAACCCCTGACCATTCTCATCTGCTGTAAGTGAACAACTTACAAATTGCCTATAGCTTAGCCACCAGAATACAGACTGTGTAATTCTTGTCAGATATTAGCATAATTTGAGTTGTAGTTTACAGGGATATATATTGCAAACCAAACTACAAGAAAAATTAGTTTATATTAATGTGGGGCAAGAATGTATAGGACAGAAAGACTCCCAAAATGATATGCAGACCTCAAAGGCAAAATTATAATTTAATAATCTGCGTTTGTTTTAAGTATTTCAAAACTAAATTATTGAATATTTTTAATGTTGATATTTATCCTGTCTTTTTTTCTTTTCTTTTTATTATTTTTATTTTATGTGTATGAGAGTATTGCAACTGTACCATGCAGTGCTTACAGAAGTCAGAAAAAGGCATTGGATCCCCTGGAACTAGAGTTATGGACAGCTGTTAGCTGCCATGTGGGTGCTGGGAATCAAATCCAGTTACTCTGCAAGAGCAACCAGTGCTCTTAACCATCTCTCCAGCCCCTCTTCTTTTCTTTTCTTGTGCTAAGGACTAAACCCTGGGTCTTGCACATGCCAAGCAAATGTTCTACCACTGAGTCATATGCCTAGTCCACTAGGTTTCTATACCTTTATAAAACAATATGATTTTTTCCTTCAATTGTGAAAGGGTAATATACAGTAAGTTCTTTGAAAAGAGATAACTGTTAATTTTTCATTTTCACAATGAGAAACTTGCTTTTACATAATGTTGATAAGTCATTACAATTCAACTAATGGTATTGATCTCATAGAATTAATCATTTAATGCCAGTAAAGTGTGTAGAACAACACTAGGCATGGAGTAAATGCTGCATAGGTGTTAGTGGCTGACATGATTCTGTTTTACTTACTGATTCATCAGAGATAGGGTCTCACCAAGATATTTAAACTGGGCAAAACTGTTGAGGCTCAAATGATCCTCTTGCCTCCACCCTCTATGGTGTTTGTGGAGCTATTACTACCTTTTTAAAAAGTAGTAGTAGGCCCAGCTTGATGGAGCATGCCTTTAATCCCGTCAGTCCTGAGGAAGAGGCATTAAGATCGCTGTGAGTTAACGGCCAGCCTGGTCTACATAGCAAGTTCCAGGCCAGCCAGGTCTGCATAGTGAGACCCTGCTCCAAAAAAATATTTTTTTAAACAATAGTGTTCTTTTACAACTTCTGGCTTCCAACAATTTCCAGAAGGATAAATTCAAACCTGCTATGTTGGAAAGAAGCCCCACACTGGAAGCAGTCAATGTTTTTTGCAATTCTTTCTGAAGTCTTTCCTCCTTAAGTCATATGCCTCTGCATTGTTTTGGTTTGGCAGCTAGGCCTATGCAGGGCTCACTTTGGGGTCAAAGAAGTTAACTGGCTGCTGAAGGTTTTGAGAGAAGGTCAGTGATTCTTCTAAAAGATTAAGAACAATAAAAGCCATAAAAGAGACTGAAAAGGATACATAGAATGAGCCAAGTAAACCAAGAATTTGTTCCCACTTCATAAAGCAATTCCATCTTCATGAAGAGAAACAGTGCAACACATTGAGCTTTTCAGGATCACGACTCAGCTTTGTTTTGAAATGATTCATTGAGAAGCCTGGCACAGTGGTCAATCTTGTGCTAGCTCTGATGTCTGAGATTCTTGTTAAGTCAAAGCCTATACTCAAATAACTTTATCATCCACTCCAGCCATTTCTTTACTAAAGTTGAAAGGAAAATGCAGATTCTCATGTAGTGAACCAATTTAATGGATATATGAATATTCGATCTTATTATTTAAAAATATTTTAATTGAATAAACAGGGAAATGATAGGAAACAGAATGTGAGGTTAGGTGAAATAATTGGTTTTAAGAAGGCTTAAAATCATTAAAAAGTGGGGCCTAGGAGTAAAGCTCAGTGGTGGAATATAGGCCTGATCATGGAATCAGTCCTCAGGACTACAAAATAAGAGAGCCAGGAAACTTGACAATTTGAATCACACTTTTGCATATCATTTTGAACACTGTTTACCAGAACTATGGAAGGGATCACATTAGAATATTTTACAGCAAAGACATTCTCTTTTTAAATTTGAATTATTCCACTTTTCCATAATGCATATAAATTCAGATTTATCATTCAGGTTGAATGGTGATCATTGAAACAAGGTAATATTTAGAAAGCAATGATGATTGAAGCAAACTCACACACAAGAAAAACCACTTTTCCTATCTCATTTGGAGGCAGTAACATGATTTGGTCATTGCAATGATTTATGGTATGCGAGGTATGAAGAAATGCACACCTGCCAGATTGAATTCAGAATGAAACAGGTTAGACAATGTTGTCTTTCCACGGTTCTGTTTTGTTTGAGCAAGGTTCTCATTCTGTAACCCATGCCTGCCTTAAACTCCTGGCGACTCTCCTGCCTCAGCCTCAAGTGTGCTAGGATTACAGGTGGGAACCAACATGCCCAGCTGCTTTTGTTTTGTTTTGTTTTGTTTTACTGTATTTTTTTTTTTTTGGTCTTTTTTGAGACAGGGTCTCCCTGTAGCTCCAGCTGACCTGGAGCTCACTATGTAGACCAGGCGGGACTCGAACTCACAGAGATCCACCTGCCTCTGCCTCCTGAGTGCTGGGATTAAAGGCGTGCACCACCACGCCCAGCTATTTACTGTATTTTTTGAGACTTGATTTCAATATGTAGCTCATGTTCTCCCAGAAATGCCCCAAACTCACAGCAATTCCCATGAGTCAACCTTCCAAGTAGTACGATTGCTGCTATGAGCCAATGTGTCTGGCTAGCAGATGCACTTGTGTGTGTGTGTGTGTGTGTGTGTGTGTGTGTGTGTGTGTATGTGTGTGTGTGTGTGTGTGTGTTAGCAGATATATTCTTATCAAAAGGAAAGCAAAAGGATCAAAATGCATCATGATTTAGGCTTTGCTTCATTCCCAGAGATCCATTTTATTATTGTATAATCTTAAATTCCATGAAATTAAGGTTGGACCAAAAAAACTCAGATTGCAAATAAAACTTTTAATAATTTTTAAATTGCCTGGAGTGTGTGATTCAGCACCATACTGTTGATATATACCACAAGGGTCAGGGCCATAGAAAGAGAGTGATTTCATTACTGAATTTATTTCAGATAGTATTTAGAATAGTTAATGTATACAAATATGCCTTATATACACATATACGCACATATATTCATCCATTCTACTGCTTGTAAAATTACAGGTTCAGCATAAAATTGCAGTTTTTCAGGGTCATTGATTGGAAAATCGAGGAAGCTAGATTTTGTAAAGCTTATTGCATACTGTTTTCCTAAATAAAACTATGTTAATACAGCCAAGGAAAGTTGGGATTTGATAATGGGAATGGGAAAAGATGACTGTGATGGGAACACTAACAACACACACAGCAACTCTTCCCCCATTACAAAAAGTCACTTTCTTAATGTGAACTAATTACAAAAAGGTGACCTGGTAGAAAGACTAATTATGAAAAGGCACTCTTCTATGCCTACATGGTCTTGTGCAAAGCTTGGCTGGGATTGCACGGACTAGATATTTTTTCCAGTCTCAATTGTTGTATACTGTGAACCTCAGATAGAAGACACCTCTCCCAAGAAAGAGTATGTGTCTATTTGTTAGCAGCACTAAAAGCCTTTGACATACTTTCCATTTCTTTAGCAGTTTTTCTTCCCATTGGTCTGCTTAAATGGAGATTCTAAAAAGCATTTAAAGAAAGTTTTGTGTTATGAGATGGTTCAGTGGGAAAAGCACTTTTCACCAAAGACTTTGACCTTAGTTTGATCCCCAAAGGCCATGTAAAATTGGAGGGAGATAACCAATTCTACAAAGTTGACCTCTGACCTCCACATGTATGTTATGGTGAATATGCATGAGCACACGCACACACATACAGACACTAATAAATAATGTTTCATAAAATCACTGATCATGTTCCTAGTTAAAAGTGGCTAATTAATTTAGACATGCATATTGGTAAACAGGGACAAATTTGGGCTGAGGTAAATTCTAGTGTTTTAGGAGTATAGAGCTACATCTTTAGAATGCTCACTCATTCAAAAAATTAAACCAGGATGTTAAATTAGCATTGTTATAACCTGCTTTTGTGCAGAGTCCACGTGCAAGTTAACTTGCTTTCCAGGTTCTTATACTATGAAAAGAAGTTGGACTCAAATGCCCAAATTGGACAATCACTGAAAAGCTTTTTTTGTGTGTTTTTTACCATGTAACTTGGGTGAAAAACCTGAGACTTTTGTGGGCAAGGCAAGTACTCTGCCACTAAGCTGCCTTCCCAGCTCTAGTTTTAAATTTCTTATTTTGACTTGGAGGTAGGATCTTATCAAGTTGTCCAAGCTGACTTTCTTGTACTCTCTCCCTCCCTCTCTTTCTCCCTTTCTCTCTCTGTGTCTCCCTTTTACCCTCCCTCCTCCCCTCCCCTCTCTTGAATCTTTCTATGTAGCCCTGGCTAGACTGGAGCTCACTATGTGGACCTGAATGGTCTGGAACTTGTGGTGATCCTCCTGCATCTGCCTCTACCTCCTGAGTGCTGGACTTACAGGTGTCCACCATTATGCCCAACTTTTCATATCTATATTCTTTTATTTTTTAGAATATTTTATTAAGTCTACAGCAGGGGAGCAGTGGACTGTGCAGTAACTGCAATATCACCTGCCTCGTATCTATTCTTGATAGGCATATATTTATATATATATATATATACTTTGAAATAAACTTTTTTGCTTTATTATTTGTTATTTTTATGGAATGAACTCCTACTGACCTACCACATTTGACCACAAAATAGTTTTTTAGTTGAGTCATAATTTTTTATGTTTCTGTGTGCTAAGAATTGTGGTCAAAGAATGGGAAGTCCTTCAGCCTTCTCTCTCCAAGAAAACAACAAAGCCATCCTTCTCCATAGGACATTAACAAGATTTGCCTGTGCATTTAAACCACATTACTTTTTGGCTTAAAGTGAATTCAATGCATGTAGCACTTAATGGTTTGGGCGAGTGTGTGTAACTCCCTTTGATGCTTCATCTTCAGTAGCAGTATCATAACACTTACCACCTGTGGAAAGAAATATAGGTAATGGAGATATAAAATAAGTTGTACATACTTATTGTGCTTGCTTGAAAGTCGTGGATCAACAAAAACTCTTTTAATTCATAGATTTTCCAAGAGGTAAAGAGCAGTGATATCGCCAAAACCTTCCGCAAAGCCATCAACAGAAAGGAAGGGATTTGTGCTCTGGGAGGAACTTCTGAGTTGTCCAGTGAAGGAACACAACATTCCTATTCAGGTAATCATGTCATGTGTGCTCTTAAGCTAACACAGTGCACTGAGTAGTAGATGATTTCATGTCCTGAAGACATACTCCCCCTTTTAAGAACACACTAACCTTGGTGATATAGTTGACCTTGAGTCAACTATTTGCCAGAAAGTCATGATAGATGTTTACTATATGACTTTGATAGCTTATGAGACGTATGACAAAATACGTGTAATGATAGCTTTATTACAATGGAGTTGTGCAGTAATGTAAATGTAATTTTTAAAGAGTTGTTACAACTTCTGTAAGGATCATTTAAACTTTTCTCTTGTTTTTATTAATTTTGTGATTTCCGATAGCCATTGTGTTGCTTGCTGTGTCTGGCTATCCAAAAAGGATATAACCACATGTTGTGACACATCATCTTTTAGCACGACTATACAATTTCAAGCTTTGAGACCAAATAATTAACAAGAGTATGGACTAATATCTTGTTATTTAACATAATTTCAGAGGAAGAAAAATATGCTTTTGTTAACTGGATAAACAAAGCTTTGGAAAATGATCCTGATTGCAGACACGTTATACCCATGAACCCAAATACTGATGACTTGTTCAAAGCTGTTGGAGATGGAATTGTGCTTTGGTAAGATGCTAGTTTGTTTTATATCCAGATTTCAAAAAATAGCCTTCCACAACGTGAATGTAATTTGTTTATGGATGCTTGACCATTTCGTGTTAGGAAAGAGAAAGGAAAATTACCCAGGTTCTGCATTTTTCATTTAATCTCTAAAGTTTTCTGTGAAACAAAAACTCAGCCATAAAAGTGGAGACCTCTTTTAGGGCAGAACTCTAAGCTTCCAATTTCTCCTCATCACTGAACAAGCAGAACATTACAACTTTGTCAAACTTAAGTATGTCAGTACCTATTTATTCTGAAGTAGCGTAGCTTCCAAAGGAAAAAAGAAAAAGAGGCTAGCCTTCAGTTCTCACTCTCCGGTGACCTAATTCTGAAAAAATGCTTTTTTTAACAATCCTCTTCATAATTGATAGAACATATAGACAAAAAAATCATCAAGAATCTAAAACATTTGAACAGTACTTGAAACTATTTGGCTTAATTTACATTTGTAGAACATTTCACGTAGCAACAGAATATGTATTTCTTGCAAGTATATGTAGACCATTTAACAAAAGAGACCATATTGTGGGCCACGAAACATTCTTGAATAAATTTAAAACTATTCAAGTGATACACAACACAAAAATACAAAGGAAATTAATTAAAAACTAATGACAAGAAACTTCAAATATTTGAAGCTAAAATAATCACGTTTCTTTTAAGATTTATTTTCTTTTTAGTTATGTGGATATGTGTGTGTCTCTGTGTGTATGCGCATATGTAAGTCTAGGTGCCCACAGAGTCCATGACGCCTGGGGACACTAACTTGACACGTAGGCCCTAACACAAATGACAGACTGTAAGAATTCCAGTGATGGGTAGGGGGCAATGGGAGGGTGCCGGTGGGGAAGGGAGTATAAAGATGATTAAGATTGACTGAGATGAGCTGGAGAGATGGCTCAGTGGTTAAGAAGTTAAGTCAGTACTGTTTTTGCAGAAGACCTGGGTTCGAATCCCAGCACCCACATGTCAGCTAACAGCTGTGCGTAACTCCAGTTCCAGAGGATCCAACAGTCTCTTCTGTCCTCTGTGGGCATTGCACGACAAGGGTGCACTTACTTACATGCAGGCATTACACATATACACATAAAATAAAAATAATAAGTAAAATAAAAAAGATTGAGAGGTTCTGCATGAAACAAACAAAAATTCAACAATTTTTTTTAGAAAAAGCTTCATGACTCCTGATTAGAGCTGTTAAATTTATTGGCACAAAGAAGTTCAAAATATTAGTGCTTAGCCTTCTCATATCTGTAGAATCCCCAGTGTCACAACTTTCATTTTAACATTAATAAATCATGTTTTCTTTTTCCTCCCCAGGCAGAGGTTTTTCTATTTTATTGATCATCTCCAAGAAACAGCCTTTGGTTTCACTAATTTTCTCTGTTGTTTTTCTGCTTCCCATTCTGCTGTGGTCCTTATTATTTCCTTTCTTTCTCTTATTTTGTGTTGAATTATTTATTTATTTAAGTTTCTTAATTGGAAGCTGAAGCCATCAACCCGGATCGTTTCTTTGTTTCTAACATAGACATTTGGTACTAGAAGGTTCCCCATAATATTGTTTGTATACTACAAATTTCAGTATGCTGTATTTCTTTTTATTCAATTCAAAATATTTTCTAATTCCCATTTAATTTATTTGATTCATTAATTAGATAGAAGTATGTTATTTTAGCAACTGGAGAGATGACTCAGTAGTTAAATGAGTATACTGCTCTTGCAGACGACCTGATTTCAGTTCCTAGCACCCATGTCGGGCTACTCACAACCATCTGTAACTCCAACTCCAGGGAGCTGATGCCCTCTTCTGTAAATTGCTTTTTTCACTATGACTGCCCCAGAGCCAGCAGAAATGTATCTTGGCAGAAATGATGTAAGGTTATCAACACTGTATATTGCTGCTCCTATTTTCAGAGACAGTGTTTCACAGTGGTTTAGATTAGGCTCCATAATAAATCAGCCTGGGTTCATATGCAGGCCCTAACCCTCAGTAGCTGAGTAACTGTGGTCCGAGAGCCAAGTCCTTTCGATTTCGCGTCCTACTGTGCTCTTCATCTTATTACATAGTTTGAGCATCCCTAATGCAAAAATCAGATATCTGAAATGCTCCCAAGTTGGAAATTATTGTTTTGGTTTTTATTGGCATATATTAATAATAATTAATAATGGGCTTCATTATACTGTTTTCAGACATGTATATAATGTGTTCTGAGCATATTCACCCCAATTACACTCTTGTCCCCCTCTACTCTTGCTGATCCTCTTCTTCCCATCTTGTCCCCCTTATACTTTTATGTCTTTTTCAGTGATCCAGTGAGTTTAATTAGACATGCTTACAGGAGCATGGGTGAGAGGCTATTTACAGGAGCATCTGAAACTTTTCAAATTCTGATAATGATACCACAAATGGAATATTACACATCTGTCCTCAAGTGACAAGCAAAAATAAAAGTGCAGGTACCCCCAAAATACTGAATAAAAATACCTTTTGAGCCAGAGGTATAGCTCAGTGGTATAATGCATGCCTAGGAAGCTCATAGCCTTGGTTTCCAACATAAGCACCACAGAAGGAAAAGGAAAACTTATATTCAGGCTGTATATTAATATATATACAAATATGCATGTATATATGTGCATACATATTTGTATTTGGTGCATAAATAAAATTTGTGTTTTTACTTGGGTCCCCCAATATGCCATTGTGCATGTGTAAATATTTTTTCTAATTTGTGGGTTGGGCGTATATAATCTTTTGTATAAGTCATCTATTGTGTTTTAAAAATGTGTTGTTTATTTATGCATATATGTGTGTGCCTATGTGAGTTTATGTGCATTATGCACATGCAGGTGCCTGTGAAGACTAGAAGAATGCATCAGATTTCCTGAAACTGGAGTTATAGGCAGTTGTGATCCATTCAAAGTGGGTACTAGGAAACAATCTTGGTACTCTGCAAGAGCAACAAGCACTCTTAACCACCAAGCAATCAATCTCCTCAACCCCAACTCTATTCCATTTTTTAGATCACATGAAAGGCATGATAACAATAAAAATTATCATTTGGGATGATTTGCAGACTTTTGTTGTTGTTTAGATGAGAGCTCCTGTATCTCAGGCTGGCTTCAAACTTGCTATGTGATCCAGGCTAGTCTTGAATTTCTGAATCTCTTGCCTTCAACTCTCCAATACTAGGATTACAAGCATGTTCCACCATGCCCCAATTATGTGGTGCTGGGGATTGAACCCATGTCCTCAGGTATGCTAGTGAGGCATTCTACCAAGTAAGCTGCATCTCCAATGTCTACAGACTCTTTAAAAGTCTATCAACTTCATTATTTTTATTCCAGTAAAATGATCAACCTTTCAGTTCCTGATACAATTGATGAAAGAGCAATCAACAAGAAGAAACTTACACCTTTCATCATTCAGGTAAGCATTGCTCTCCATGCGCCCTTCCATGACACAGCGGTTTGAAATAGAGCTCATAGCCTCTGTATTCCGACTTTTCTCCTTTAACTCTTATAAAAACTCTGAGATGGAGATCCAGATTGTACATAATGAGCTGGGACTCAGAACGTCTTATAAGCTTGCTAGAAGTTCACATTGGCTCTAAGGTACAAGTACGTATCCAACTCTAAAGCCTTTTCATTGCATATGTTAAGGCACTGCTGAAATAAGCAAAACTATTTGAGCTCTTAATTAACTGGTGTGCTTAAAGAATGGAGCATCTTTGTTTCCCTTAAGTGAATATTACACTGCTAGCAAAATTCTCTCTGGCTAAAGGATTCCTTGAGATGTAGGGATTAGTAATTTCTAGAATTTGGAAGTATGCCAAACTGCTGGACTCTCATTTAGGCATTTTCAGAAATGTGACACTACTCCCATGGATGTATTTACTTTGGTCACTTGACATTTTCTTTTAGTACCAGCATAATTCAAAAGCAACTAAATAGAACTAACAAGTTACCTTCCTGTGGAATTCTGTGAAAAATAATACTAATGAGGCAGAGATTTGGTTTTGCCATGTTTGGTGTGAATCAAAGATGGATGGAATTAACGTCCTGTACTAATTTCTCACTTAAAGTTCATTTCAGTGAAGGGAAAAGAGGACTGGTAGGGGGAAGAAAAAAGGTCAAGAGTATATAATTTGAGTATCTTGCAGGAAAACTTGAACTTGGCGTTGAACTCTGCTTCTGCCATTGGGTGTCATGTTGTAAACATTGGTGCAGAAGATTTGCGGGCTGGAAAACCTCATCTGGTTTTGGGACTGCTTTGGCAGATTATTAAGATTGGCTTGTTCGCGGACATTGAATTAAGCAGGAATGAAGGTAATGAAACCCAGTCATTATTTTAAAAGTTGTTTATTGCTTATTTTTTCTCTTCACACAGACTGCCATGCTTTCACTGAATTGAGGTGAATAGGTGGTAGCTAAGAATTAACATAAGGTAATGCTATAGAGCTATTCAGGAAAACAGCCTAATTATAACTCTCTTCTTTGGTAATAGTGAACATTTGCATGACACATCAGATTTTATTTTACAAAAACCACAAAAACTGTAGAGGTTAAGCAATGTTCCAAGATCCCCAAACTTGGTATCCTTTCCTACTTGATCAATACAACCTCCACTCCAATGTCACTTTCAACTCTATTGTGCACTATGTCCCATTATTTTTAATACCCTTTATATTGTCTCACAAATTTAAGCCTTTTCCACAATCTTCTAACCCACTCATACCAGTTCTTTGGGGGTAGGGTTTATTTCATCTTACACTTCCAGATAACAGACCATCACTGAAGGAAGTCAGGGCAGGAACCTGAGGCAGGAACCTGGAGGCAGGAACTGAAGCAGAGACCATGGAGGAATGCTATTTATTAACTTGCTTCCGCTGGCTTGCTCAGCAACCTTTCTTATACAGCCCAGGCCCTGCTGCCTGCTGTTGCACATTTCTTGAACCAAAGTAAATGTCATCCTTTTTACAGTATATATATAATTTGTCTTTTTGAGACAGGGTCCCCCTATAGCCCCAGCTGGCCTGGAACTCACTATGTAGACCAGGCTGGCCTAGAACTCACAGAGATTCACCTGCCTCTGCCTCCCAAGTGCTAGGATTAAAGGCATGTGCCACAATGCCCAGCTACAGCTTAAATGATGATATTACACCATCATTGTATAGAATGTACACATATGTACAGTACAATTTTTATAGGAAGGGCTTCACCATCCACTATGAAGCTGAAAACGTTAAACAATATTCCAAACATTCTTATTACATTGCAGAAATCCCTAGAATCACCCTCTTAATCCTCAGTTAATTTTGTGGAAGAATATATTTGAAATTTTTAATATTTTCATATTTGCATAAGATATTTTTCTACTTTCAAAACATTATTGTACTTACACTTTCAATTCATTTCAAAAGTCCTATTATTTTAGTTTGTTTTTGCCTTCGTGATGCAGAGGATGAAAACCAAGGCCTCTTGCATGCTATACAAATATTCTATCACTGAACTATATATTGGTTCTTTGTTTTTCTTTTCAATTGCCATAGGGTTTACCTGTTCCCCAGCTTAGTCTCAAACTCCTGGGCATTCATACAACACCAACTGCCACAGTAGGAATAGAGCAAAATTACGGTAGACTGCAGCTAGAACCCACTACCCTGTCACTAGACTCAGAGAGTCTAATATTAGAGGACCCAGCAAGATGCATCTCCAATTTCTTGTCTTTTCCCGTACTCTTCTTACTATTTTTGGTATTGCTTTTATTTTTTACTCCTTTATTTCTCTTCTTACTTTTATCAAAATTTATCTATTTTTATTGGTTTTATGATCAAACTCTCAAGCTCCAGTGATCCACTCCCTCACCCTTTTGAGTAGCAGGGATCAGAGGTGTGTGCCACTGAGCCTGGCATGAGGTATTCTTTTAATTGAACAAAATTGTGAGGCTGAAAAAACAGCTCAGTGGTTAAGAGCACTTGGTTGCTCTTGAAGAGGACCCGGGTTCAGTTCCCAGCACCCAGATGGTGGCTCACAACCATCTGTAACTCCAGTTCAAGGGGATCTGACGCCCTAATCAGGCCTCCATGTGTACCAGAATGCATGTGGTTCAAATACATACATGCAGGAAAATTAATCATACACATAAAATTTTTAAATTTACATCTTTTTTTTTAATCTTTTTGAGGCAGGGTCTCTCTTTAGCCCCAGCTGGACATGAACTCAGGATGTAGACCAGGATGGCCTTGAACTCACAGAGATCCGCTTGCCTCTGTCTCCAAAGTGCTGGGGCTAAAGGTGTGAGCCACCACATTTGGCATAAATTTTACATCTTTTCTTAATAAATGGAATTATTCTCATGGCTGGCCTTCTTGACAACCATGCTCTTCTTGCTTAAAGAAGCAGGAGGCAAGGGAGAAAGCAAAATAAAATTACTTTAGTTCATGTAAAAAATGAGGTATGTAGAAACTGGGCTTTTTTATCCTTTGCAGTCAGTTGATTTGGTATAGACGAGGAGCAAAAGCTCTACAAAGGCTATGACGTTTTAATGTTTCTTAAATCCCTGAGTGCCATGATGCTAGGAATCCATCGAAAGTGAAGTTTTCCTGGTGGAGGAATTTCTTGGATCTCTGCAGAAATCCGTTTGTTTCAGTCATATTATTTTCTCATTTTACAAGAGATAATTATAAAATTATTACATAAGAACTTCGGAACTTTTTTTGTGATATTAGAGATTGAGCCAGTGCCTCAGGCATGCTAGGCAAGTGTTCTATCACTGTGCTGCAACCACAGCTCTTTGTCCAGTTTTTTATTGGGGTGGAGTTTGGCTATGTAACCGAAGATGCCATCCAACTTGAAATTATTCTTCCTTAGCCTTCCTAGTTCTGGGATTGCAGGAATGCGTTACCACACTCAGATCACTACATCTTTATAAAACAATGTTTACATTTAGATAGTTCTCCAATACCTATTGGAATATTTACTCTAAAAAAACTTGGCTTCAGTTGTAGGTGTGTAGCTCAGTGACAGAATCTGCGCTTTGCATGTGCAAGGATCCAGAGTGAATCCCCAGCACCACCAGAAAAATAAAAGCTTAGCTTCCTGTACATATTCACTTTAACAACACAAATGATTGAACCACCTTTGTATGCTGGAAACTATAGAAACATCTAAGATTGAATTTTCTTCCTTTCAAAATAGGTTTGACCCCTTAAGAATTCCTTGATTGGGGACTGGTGTTGCTGTAGTAGAGCACTTGCTTAGTGTATACAAGGCCCTGGGTTCAATCCTCAACAGCACGCACACACACGCACGCACACACACACACACACACACACACACACACGCAGTTGAATTGCTTAATTATACCTAAATATCGATACTTTACTAGGGTTTCTAGACTATATTTGCTGTGTATGTAGTGCTAGGGATAGTAACCAGAACCTTATGCTAAATAAACTGTTTTAATCAGAAGGTTAAGTAAGACATTCCCAATTTTTAAACATCTTTCCTGAAATCCCTCTTTTTCAAAGTATAAAGAAGACTTTATGTAAACGTATAACATAATAGAAAAATGGTAAACTTAAAATCTGCAACCTAATTTGGCATTAAAAAAATAAAGAATAAGGGGCTGGAGAAATGGCTCAGTGGTTAAGAATACTGACTATTTTTGCAGAAGACTGGGGTTCGAATCCCAGCACCCACGTGGCAGCTAACAGTTGTCCGTAACTCCAGTTTCAGCCTCTTCTGTCCTCCGTGGGCATTGCATGACATGGGTGCACTTACCTACATGCAGGCAATATGCACATACACATAAAATAAAAATGATAAATAAAAAGATTTAAAAATAAAATAAAAATAAAGAATAAAAGGATGTTATATTATGCAATTTATTGTTCATTCTTTTTAAAAATATTTTATTATTTTTATTTTATGTGTATGAGTGTTGTGCCTGCATGAAAGTGCGTGCACCCATGTCATACAATGCCCATGGAGGACAGAAGAGGCTGTTGGATCCACTGGAACTGGAGTTATGCACACTTGTTAGCTGCATGTGGGTGCTGGAATTCGAACCCAGGTCTTCTGCAAGAATAGTCAGTGTTCTTAACTGCTGAGCCATCTCTCCAGCCCTGATTATTGTGCATTCTTAAATATCACATGCATATTAATCTTTCTGTCAGATTCTGAGCATATTTGTGTGCTGTGTGCACATGTTAGTTTATGTGAGAATACACATGCACATGTATGCATGCAATGGAGGCCAAAGACATTGAATGTCTTCTTCAGTCTCTCTCCAACTTACTGTTTTTCTGTGTAGGTGTGTATTTGTTTTATATGTATGTTCATGTAGGTGGGTACCTGTGTGCTACAAATTCCCATGTATATGTGTGTAGAGACCAGAAGTCATTGGGTGTCTTCTTCAGTCACTCTCTACCTTAATTTTTGAAACAGAGTTTTTCACTGAGCCTGGACCCTACAAATTTGGGTATACTGACTGACCAGCAAGCCCCAGGGACCCTCCATCTCTATTTCTTCACCCCACTGCACCCAACCTTTACATGAGTGCTGGGGATGTGTGCTTAGTTCCTCAATCTTGCATTCTACCACCTAATTCATCTCCCCCGTCCTTACTTTATTTTTTGAGACTCAATCTCCCTTAACCTGGAGCTCACAGATTTGGCTAGATTGGCTAGCTAGTGAGCCCCAATGACCCTCCTATCTGCACCTCCCTGGCTTGAAGATTACAGGCCTCTACCACCATGTGTGGCTTTTTCACATAGTGCTGGGGATTGAACTCAGGCCCCTGTGCTTGCACAGCAAACACTTCTCTAACTGAGCCATCTCCCCATTGAGTATGAGTATCTTGAAACCAGAACTATGTCATACTAGATCTTGTATCTTTATCATAGAACAAAGTATCAAAAGACTAAGTGAACCCAGTTACAATGGAGCATGCCTGTAATCACAGCAATGGGACATGGAGGAAGGGCTATCATGAGTTTGAGGACAGCCTGGGCTTCTCTCAAAGTAATAAGTAAAAAATTGACAGTGACAGTGAACGTGACATAAGCACTATCCCATCATATACTGACTGAGGGAATTTTGTCTTTAAGCGTTGGCAGCTTTACTTCGAGATGGTGAGACTCTGGAGGAACTTATGAAATTGTCTCCAGAAGAGCTTCTGCTAAGATGGGCCAACTTTCATTTGGAAAACTCAGGTTGGCAAAAGATCAACAACTTCAGTGCTGACATCAAGGTAACTGTGCAAAGAGCCAGAACATTTGGGGGAAATATAATGGCTTAGGAGAGTTCATAGCATCTTGACAGAGGGGAGAATGATCACAATATTATATTAGTGAGCCTTGTTGCCTCTTGACCCTAATAACAGATTTTTACGTTTTTTGGACAGGGTATTGCGATGTACCCCAGGCTGTCTTGAGGATCACTACAGATGTGTGCCATTATGGCTAGATGATTTTTTTTTTCTTTTTGTCAGGATTCTATGTATCCCAAGCTGGTCTCAAATGTACTATTAAACCCAGGGTCTCGCACATGCTAGGCAAGCATTCTACCAACTGAGCTGCCTCCCCAGTCAGTTGAGGTTTTTTTCAGACAGAATCTCAGTTTGTAACCCAGGTTTGCCTACTGCTCACTGTGTGACCCAAGCTGACCTCAAACTTGAAATCTTCCTGCTCCTGTCTACTGAATGGTGAGATTATAGGCATATGCTATCATGCCTAGCATGAGCCACCATGCCCAGTAGAAACCATTTTTAGTGAAGTATCCTTTGAATATTTTTTAAAGCAAATAACACTTGCATTTGAGTAGCATGTGTGAGACCCTAGCTTCAGTCTCCAGCACTGTGAGAGAAGCTTGTTTCATTAAGTGTATTCTGATCCTAAAATGTTAAATGATATTTTACCAACTAAAGGTCTCTCTTATTAAGACTTTTGTCATTTCAGTTTATAATTAAACATATCACTATCATAGCAGATCTCTTCTCCACAACTTAATATATATTGTGCTTTTTAACGATATAAACTGTTCATTTTCTCTCTCCCTGTGCTTCCTGGATTTCTGCCCTCTACTCTTTCATGCTTGTTTTGTCTGTCAAGCTTATTGACTTCAGTAATTCAGTGAAGGTACAAAAACATTTATTAGCTTTTATTATATTGATGACATCAATAAATTGTAAAATAATACCTAAATCTGGTTTAAGATAGGTATAAAGCCAGATAGATTGTCTTTTCTGGAAAAAAAAAAAAAGATGTCTTAAATAAGAAGATAGTATCATATAGTTTCACAAAATCTGATGCAAATGTCTTTATATCAACATGGCAATAAGATGCAGTCATTTTTCATAAATGTTATCTCACTCATATCTTTAATTCATTTGTAGGATTCCAAAGCTTATTTCCATCTCCTCAATCAAATTGCACCAAAAGGACAAAAGGAAGGAGAACCACGGATAGATATTAATATGTCAGGTTTCAATGTAAGTATAGGTACTTTTTTGAGATCTACAGCCTTAGAAAATGGTGGTCTATGTCATAAATATCAAAATTTCTATGTAACTGCATATAGTTGTTTTGACCCCACACTCAAGTATTTTTTAAGTATGTGGTACATGCAACTCAGAGGGAAGAAACTATCTTAATTTTGATGATTTTTTAATTCTATACTGATGATTTTGGATTTTATGAATAACATAAAACATTCCAAGCAAGTAGGGGAAAATAAGGAGTAGAGGCTAGCCTTTCCCAAGTATTCGGATTATAACCACAATAATAGATTTAATGATTACATATTCATGGCTACATCCATAATGTTACTGTATTACAAGTGGTATGAATATGTTTACAAAATCTACCTGGGGGGCTGGTGGATTCACAGCAGTGAAGAACACTGACTGTTCTTGTAGAAGACCTGGCTTCAAATCCCAGCACCCACATGGCAGCTAACAACTGTCCGTAACTCCAGTTCCAGGGGATCCAACAGCCTCTTCTGCCCTCCACGGGCATGGCATGACACAGATGCATTTACATACATGCAGGCAATACACGAATACACATAAAATAAAAATAATAATAAATTTTAAAAAATTTTAAATCCACCTGGGCCAATCACTGTTAGGAACCTTGTTTCCTGGTTGTCACTGGTTTTGTTCAGTGACCTTGGGTAAGTTCATTCTCAAAATTGAATCTTACTTTGTCCATCCATAAAGGAGTTTAACTAGATAATTAAGTCCCATGTTTTTAGGATTTTATTTTCTTTATACCAAGTAGATGCAGAATATAGTCTCCTAATTAACAAAATGCACATATGTGTCCTATTAAGTAATTGGACTCAGCAGAAAGCATTGGCCAATTCAGTTTACATTACCCTTACCAGACTGAATTTGGGACTGACTTGTGTGCCTATATTTCAGTCTGAAAACTCCAAACACTTCAGTTCAGGTCATTGTTGGTAGAGGGGAAGGGCCAATCCATATATTAAAGGAACTGTTTGGGAGGGCTGTTCAGATGATCATATAGCTAGATAAAAGGCACCAGTGTATTAATGGGTGGATTCAGAGTCAAATATAACTCTTCTCTACTTAGCCATATCAGTTACTTCTCTTGTTGCTATGATGAAATACCTCACAGAAGCTAATTAAGGGAAGAAAATTTTATTAGGGCTCTCAGTTATGAAGGGAAACAGTCAGCTCATCATGGTGGGAAGACATGTCAGCAGGGATGTAAGGTGATTGGTCATATTGCATCAAAACTCAGGAAGCAGAGAAAGATAAATGCTGGTGTTCCGCTTGCTTTCTTTTTTTTCCTTTTTATTCAGTGCAGCAAATCCTCCTCCAGGGTATCTGATGCCCTATTCTGTCCTCTATAGGCACCTGCATGCATGAGCATGTGGGGGGGGAGAGAGAGAAAGAGAATAAAAGTAAATCTTTTTAAAGATGAAAGTATTCATATTTTTAAGTGAAAATTGAAGGCGTGTGGCTTTAAAAGATGAATAATACATTATCTTTTTAAAAGAATTTTTTAGTTTTCATTATATGGATGGGGGCAGTGTGAACATGAGTGCAGTTACCTGAGGAAATCAGAGACAATGGATCCCCCAGTAGCTGTAGGCAGCTACGAGCTAGTCATAGTGGTTGCTGGGAATGGAACTTGGGTTCTCTGGAAGAACAACTGCTCTTAACTGCTGAGCTATCTCTCCAGCACCACTTTATCTTTTTTTAATAATATATATCAAACTTAGCTTTTTTTTCTTAGCTTTTTGGCATGAGAGATATAATCCTAACTACTAAGTGTAGTAAGTTTTTAAACAAGCAATGTGGCACCATCTAATCAAAGTAAAGGTACCACATATCCTGAGCCTTTTTAAACATTCAAAACAATTTTGTAAGTACCATATGTTAGCTGAAAAAAAAGTAGAATCTTATACCCAGCCATTGATTATAGAGAAAATTTCCATATTTTTAGGATGGCCTTTTGAAAATGTCTTCTTTTGCTTCAACAGGAAACAGATGATTTGAAGAGAGCAGAGAGTATGCTTCAACAAGCAGACAAATTAGGTTGCAGGCAGTTCGTTACCCCAGCTGATGTTGTCAGTGGAAACCCCAAACTGAACCTAGCCTTTGTAGCAAACCTGTTTAATAAATACCCAGCACTAACTAAGCCTGAAAACCAGGACATTGATTGGACTTTATTAGAAGGTGGGTAACAGTTCCTCAAATTCTAATTGCTGGGCTATAGAGCAGAAATACAGAGACCACAGTGATGTCATAATTCTGAGTAAGTTGCTTTATCCACTTGACTTTCACAAGAATCTGCTATAGTAGATGCAGTGCTGAGTGATAACTGGCAGCTGCTGAGTGGAGATGGTGTTAGAAACAAATTTTGAAAATAAAAGTTTCTGGTCTGGGAGTATGACTTCAGTGCCAAAGCCCTTCTCTAACACATTGAGCACGGAGAAAAAAAGAAAAGTCCAGGGTCACCTAACATAATGCCAGTTAGTAAACAGGAGTTTTGTTTTAGTACTATACCTTTGTTTCTGGAAGGAAGGTTTCACTTGCTAGGGTGTTCCTATTTATTTTAAGACAAGTTATCATTTCTCAGGCTGGCCTCAGACTCACTATGCAGTCAAGAATGACCTTAAATTTCTGATCCTCCTGTATCCAAGTGCTAGGATTATAGGCATACACCATCATGCCCGGTTGATGGTGTGCTAAGGAGTGAACCCAGGATTTCATGCATGCTAGACAAACACTTTACCAACGGAGCTACATCCTTAGACTCTTGGAGATGGATTTTTGAGAGTGTTTCACCCTATCACCGAAGCTGGTCTAAAACTATGTATCACAGGATGCCTTCAAACTCACTGTGATCCTTAGTCTCATGAAGGCTATGGTTATAAACATGAGTCAACATGTCTGGCTAGACTACTTTTTAGCCTCTAACCAGAAAAATGCAAAGACGTATTTAATTTGACCTACGAATTTCAGTTATTATGTTTCATTTATCTATAGCAAGAGTGATAAAAAGTCAAATATAAACATATGGTAATTGTTAGCTCTGAATTAAAGCAGATAAAATAAATGAATACATGTGTTGATGCTCTCTGTATCTATTCAAGACATTTAGTGCATGAACACATTTTATCAATATTTTAATAGGAGAAACTCGTGAAGAAAGAACCTTCCGTAACTGGATGAATTCTCTTGGTGTTAACCCTCATGTAAACCATCTCTATGCGTAAGTCATCCTACTACTGTTATAAACAGTTATGAGGAACATGAGTGGAAACAACAGAAATAATGACAGCTCAAAAAAGTTTTCTGCAGTCTTTTGTGGCAATTAAAGCTTTGAATGATGATTTCCATCATCACTTTCCAAATAGACAGAAGCCCAATTCCTTTTTACCTTTTTACCTCTTAAGTGTGAAGGTTTTTATGATACCTTAGGGAACTGGTACTTTTTGTCTTTTCAACAGTCCAAGTAATACTTGTAGTGGACTGTCCATGATTCAGTGTGGTCTTTGGCTTTCTGCCTGGGCTGTTCTTTGCTCACATGTAACGGTTTACAACCTTACTACCTGCCATATACTATTATTTCTGCCTGGAATATTCTTAGACCACATAAAGGTATATAGGACTTATACCTTTATTTTATTCATTACACTAGACTATTCTTTGCCCACATGTAATGGTCCCTGTCCTGACTATATTCCATACCATCACTATCTTCCTACCTGTCATTCTCCAACCAAGAACTCTAGTTCTAGTTTTCCTCATTGCATTTACATATATGTTAAAATCATATTATTTGCTTATCCACATATTTATTATACATCTCTCTGAATTTCATGTAGGGACTAGGATATTCATGCTGTGTGTCCAGCCTTTATAGTAATGTTTTGTTGTTTTGGGGGGACTGGGGGAGGGGAGTATTTTGTTTTGTTTGTTTTTTTGTTTTGATTTTTTTTGAGACAGGGTTTACTGTGTAGCCATGAATGACCTGGAACCATGTAGACCAGTGTAGCCCTTGAAATCAAAGAGGTCCTCCTACCTGTATCTCCCAAATGCTGTGACTAAAAGCGTCCGCTACCATGCTTGGCCTCTATAACATTGTTTTGCTTACAATAAGCATACACACTTTTTAAGTGAACTGAATATTCTTAGCTCTGTTTTCAGCCAGACTGATAAAAAAAATGTGTAAGTCATGGGTATGGTGATGTTACAGATCTTGTTTGAAAGAAAAGTATTTAACTATTTTTAAACTACCTGAAAATACTGATGAAGTTGTCTTTTAAATTATTAGTGACCTGCAAGATGCCCTGGTAATCTTACAGTTATATGAACGAATTAAAGTTCCTGTGGACTGGAGTAAGGTTAATAAGCCTCCATACCCGAAGCTTGGAGCCAACATGAAAAAGGTAGAGAATATATTTCTTATAAACTATTTTTAATCTTGATTTCTTTCTTTTTTAAAGACTATATCTTTATTATTTTTAATTATTTGTATTCATGTGTGTCTGTGTATATGAGCTCATGAGTGAAGGTGCTGATGGAGGCACAAGGATGCTCTGGAGCTTGATTTACAGGGGGTTGCAAACTGAACTCGGGTCCTCTGCAACAATACACAGTCTTAACCCCTGAGCTACCTCTCCAGCCCTGTCTCCTTCATTTTATAAACTCTGGACCTGAAGTTTCTTCATAGGAACTACATTTTGATTTTGTGTAAATACTTAGTGTTACATCACACACACACACACACACACACACACACACAGGTGTGCAAATTGAACAAATGAAAATCTTTAACCATTCATTTACTTTGTGCAATTCCAGCTAGAAAACTGCAACTATGCTGTTGAATTAGGGAAGCATCCTGCTAAATTCTCCCTGGTTGGCATTGGAGGACAAGACCTGAATGACGGGAACCCAACCTTGACCTTAGCTTTAGTCTGGCAGCTGATGAGAAGGTACAGTACATAATGTTGGCTGTTTAAGCTTCATACTAATACAGGTCTATGAAGTGACCCATAGTAGAATTTTACTTTTTAAAACAATTCATTTAGTTCAATGAATACATTTCTGAGCTCATTATATTTAGACTCTGAAATAAATTTGCTATGGCTGCTGGGGGAGAGTCAGTTTTCTTCAGTAGTATGTTCCCCTCCCATTAGGTTGCAGTAGTACAACACATGCCTAGCATGCATGAGCACAATTCCCAGGCCCCCTGAGCAAATAAGCAACAGTTGTCAGAAGGCCAATATGGTGGCTCACACCTGTCACCTCAGCACCTAGGAGTCTGAGGCAGGAGAATGGCTAGTTTGATGCCAGCCTGGGTTACATAGTGAATTCCAGGATAACCTGAACTACAGACTAGGAACCTGCCTCAAACAAACCAAAAAGTTATCAGAAAAAATATGAACATCTAGTGGGGCGTGATGGCACATGTCTTTAATCTCAGCACATAAGGGGCAAAGCAGGATCTCTGTGAGATTGAAGCCAGCCTGATCTACATAGCTCTACGCCAGCTGGAGCCACAGGGAGATCCTGTTCTCACAAAAACAAAACAAACAAATGTATATGAACATCCACATGTATTCATTTGAAAAAGAAGATTTGGGCTGGCAAGATGGCTCAGCTGGTAAAAGTGTTTGCATGAAACCTGACAACCTGAAGTTCTATCTCCATAACCCTCATGGTGGATGGAGAGAACCAACTCCTGCAAGTTGTCCTCTGACCTCCACATACATATGCCATAGCACATATGTACCCACACAGATACATATCTACAAACATACATAAATAAATGTAATTTTAAAGGAAAATAAAGATCTATATATTTTAGATGGTATTTTTATTAATTCTTTGAGCATTTTACATGTGTACACAATGAATTTTGATCATAGTCACCTGCAATTCCTCCCCAACTCCTCCTGGATCCCTCTTCCACGTCATCCTCCCACCTTCATGTCCTATTTTTTAAATAACCCTCTGAGTCCAATGAATGCTACTCATATATGGATAGTATGGGATCATCCATTGGTGGGGACCATACCACTGAAGAAAACTGACGTTCCCCCAGCAGCCATCAATTGCCAATAGCTCCTCGGCTAGGAGTGGGGCCTCATAGGCTCATCACCCATTCATGCTAGAATGTGCACTGGCTTGATCTTGTGCAGACAACCACAGCTGCTGTGAGATCATGAGTGCACCAGCCGTGTCATGTCCAGTAAACACTTTCACAGCAGTCCTCCCTGACCTCTAGGTCTCTTACAATCTTTCTGCCTTTCTGGAAATGAACATCTCATAACTATTCATTATGACTAGTTCCAGCAAAACCAGTGAATTTCATGTCACCATCACTGCTGTAACAGTCCACATTTAAGCTGTGTGCACATGCTTGCATGTGTGCATGCTTGGGGTGGGGGGTGAAGGCCGCACACAGTGCCACAACACGCAGGTGGAATCTTTCTTCTTGTTTCTACTGCTTTGCTGTATATTCCAGGCTGGCAGTCTGTATTCTCCTGTGTCTGTCTCTCATCTCACCATAGGAGCATTGGGATTGTAGGTGCACACCACTGCATCAATTTTTTATGTGGATTCCGGAGCTTGAACTCATGTTGTCAGGACTGCAGAGCTAGTGCTTTCACCTCCTGAGCCATCTCCCAGTCAATATATTCTTTTAGTGTGTGTGGAGAGAGAGAGAGAGAGAGAGAGAGAGAGAGAGAGAGAGACCTGAGGATGACCTCAGGTATCATCCTCAGGAATGCATTCCACCTCCTTTGAGAAAGGGCCTTTTACTAGGACTTGACTATTCAGCTACATTGGCTGGCCAGTGAGCCCCAGGCATCCACCAGTCCACTTGTCCAACATTGTTACTACAAGTAAAAGTCACCACACCCAGGGTCTTTACGTAACTGCGTGGGATCAAACTCGGGTCCTCATATTTGTACCACAAGCTCTTCACTAGTTGAGCTATCTCCCCTACCCCTCCTTGATATATTCTTTTCACATAGTGTGACTCTCTTTTGATGAACTCTTTTTTTACTGTGTGTATGTATAATTTATGTGTGTGTGTATGATATGTGTGTGTGTGAGAGAGAGAGAGAGTACAGATGAGCTTCTACCACAGACTGAAGATGGATGTCAGAGGACAGCTTTTAGGAGTCAGTTTTCTTCTTCCATCATGGGACCTGGGAATTGAACTGAAATTGGGATACTTGAGCAGCAAGTACTTTTACCCACTGGGCAATCCTAACTGGGCCCATGAAATCTTTAGTCTAGATAAAATGTACATGAGACATTTGTCTGATATTTGCGTTCTTCTTCATGGAGTAGGTTGTGACCATTTCTTCTGCTGCTTCTCTTAGATATACCCTCAATGTCCTGGAGGATCTCGGAGAGGGTCAGAAAGCAAATGACGACATCATTGTAAATTGGGTGAACAGAACGTTGAGTGAAGCTGGAAAGTCAACTTCCATTCAGAGCTTTAAGGTGAGAATACTGCCTAATGTATATTAGGCTTGCTAGATAATGTCCATTAGTTGGAAGGGCAACCTTGACTTTATAAGAATTATTGTTGAGCTGATGGAAAGATTTTTCTTTCATGGGTCAAGTTTTCCTTTAAGTAGTTTTTGTAAAGAAGCAAGTGTTCATTTGTAAATATTGAAATTCTTACATTTGTCCTCTTTTTTTCTAATAGGACAAGACAATCAGCTCCAGTCTGGCAGTTGTGGATTTAATTGATGCCATCCAGCCGGGTTGCATTAACTATGACCTTGTGAAGAGTGGTAATCTTACAGAAGATGACAAGCACAATAATGCCAAGTAAGGGCGACTGCTGTGCTGGAGAAAGAGCACTGGCCTTGCAGCCAGATGCATCTGCACTATAGTTCAGGTTCTCCCACTCAATTATGCTGTCAATAATGCTAGGGAAAACTCTACTTTTTGAAGGTTTTGACATTATTTTCAATTGCTTTATTGAGATATAGTTCAGCAAATGTAAGTTTCACTCATTTACTCATTTAAGTATAAAGTAATGATTTCTGGAATATTTAATTATGCAACAATAATTTCTAGAATGTTCACAGTGTTCCATAATCACCATCATAATCAATTTTAGAACACTGTCATCATGTAAAAAAAGAACCTTCATAGCCACTAGTAGTCAGTATCCTATACACCCTTAGTGCCCAGCAAACACTTAACTTAATTTCTATCTCTATATTTAACTGTTCTTTTAAATTTTTTTGAGACAGGGTCTCACTATGCAACCCTGGTTGGACTGGAACTTCTGGTGTAAACCAGGCTGGCCTCAAACTCCCAGAAATCTGCAGGTCTCTGCCTTGAGAGCACTGGGATTAAAGGCATGTGCCACCTCACATAACTATTATTTTTGTCTATTCTTAACTCTGTTTTATTTCTCTACTATTTAACATTAATTGTATATACTTTCACCAACATCTTCCCATGTGTACCCCTTCACATAACTACTCAAACTCTGTCCTTTTATGCAAATAGCTTTTCAGAGCCCATTTAGAACACTGAAACATGATACAGCCTCTAATAAGAATGCAAAGCTGTCCTTTGCAACAGCATGGATGAACATGCAGACAATGTTAAGTGCCAGCCACAGAAAGACAAATAGGGCATGATCTTATTTTTTGTTGCTTTCTTTTTTGTTTTTGAGACAGGGTCTCTCACCTCTCACCACATAGCTCTGGCAGACCTGGAACTCGCTTATGGAGGCCAGGCTGACCTCAAACTCACAGAGATTCACCTGCCTCTGACTGCCAAGTACTGTGATTAAACTCATGTACTACTATGCCTGTAATAATACCATTTTTATGAAGGAAATATTCTTAATATTCTATTTATTATTTTTATTTTGTGTATGAGTGTATTGCCAGCATATGTGTAAGTACACCCAGGTGGTACAGTGCCCATGGAGGATAGAAGAGGGTGTCGGATCCCCTGGAACTAGACTTACGGATGGTTGTTAGCTCCTATGTGGGTGCTGCGATTCAAACCCAGGTCTTCTGCAAGAACAGCCAATGCTCTTAACTGCTGAGTCATCTCTCCAGCCCCATGAAGGAACGATTTTTAAACCTCAGGTTCAGGACAATAATATAGAGACAGTATTCACCTTAGAGGATTCATAAATGTAAATTTTAAAAATATATACATATATAATAGTCAGCAAGATGGCTCAGGAGATAAAGGCACTTGCTGCTAAGTCTGAAAATCTGAGTTCAACCCTTGGGACCCACATGGTAGAAGGAGTGACTCTATTCCCACAAGTTGTCCTGGGTCCTCCACACATGCACCATGGCTAGCATGCATCCCACACACCAAGACACATACAAAAGTGTAATTTTGAAATTTTGAAATCTTTTACTAGGAGTGATGGCAAGTATCTTCAGTGTTAGCACTTGGGAGGCAGAGGCAGGTGAATCTCTGAGTGAGAAACCAGCCTGATCTACATAGCAAATACCAGGCCTATCAGGCTACATAGTGAGACTCTGTCTCAAATAAAATTTAAATACTTTTAAAAGTTTATAAAGCCAAACATTGTAGCATTGTAAGTCCAGCTACTCTTCAAGCTAAGGCAGGAGGATTGCACATTCTAAACTGGCCTGGTCAAATTGGTAAGACTCCATCTCAAAAGTAAAAATCACAAAAAGGGATTAAGGATGCAGTTCAGTGGTAGATTATTTGTCAAGCATACATGAGGCACTCGGTTTCATCCTTACTACACCTTGCCCCTATTTATAAGAACCATGCATTTTGGGTGTAGTGACATATACCTATAATTTCAAGGCTCTAAAGGCTGAATAAGAAAGAATGAAGTTAGTCACAAAATTTTTTTGTCTTTGAAAAATATGTATTTCAGAAATGATGAAAGTTTAATATCCAGCCAGGTGTGGTGCACGCCTTTAATCCCAGCACTTGGGAGGCAGAAGCAGATGGATCTTTGTGAGTTCAAGGGCAGCCTGGTTTATATAATGAGTTCCAGGCCAGCTGGGGCTATAGGGAGACCCTGTCTCAAAATGACCAAAAAGAAAAGTTTAATAAGTTTAATATTCATGAAGATCCCTATTGCAATACACTGAATGTTTCCTGCATTTATTGATGTGTTCCTGTCAATTTTCCTAGCTAGACATATCAGTCCTTTCATCCCATCCTTTGTCTGCCCTTGGCCCAGGCACTCTTTCTATACCATATAGATGCTCCCCTCTTGCTTCAAGATTCAGAAGTACTCACTACATCTTCCTAAGCATGAGTGTTAACAGCTCGCATAACTTTGTATTCCATATCTCTAAGACCCCGTAATAGTGTTCATTAGCTTAAAAGTTGGGGTCTAGGAAATACGAATCCCTGAATTTTATCCCCAGTACCACAGCAGCAAAAGAAAAGTGTCAATTATCTCATTACCAATGCAAGGAAAATTTCAAAGTTGATTGTGCATCCAACCTTGGTAATAACACACAAACATTTCATTTTTGATATTTTATTTATCATTATTTATGTGTATGAGTGTATTGCCTACATGTATATAAAATGCACCAATGTCTTGCCATGCCCATAGAGGTCAGAAGAGGGTGTCAGAACTCCTGAAACTGGAGTTACTGACAGTTGTTAGCCACTATGTGGGTGCTAGGAATCGAACTGGGGTCCTCTTCGAAAGCAACCAGTGCTCTTAACCACTAAGCCATCTCTCCACTCCCTATATTTTCATTTTTATAGGAAGTCAGTGCTTTGAGCTTTCTCACTTCACATTGAAAGAAATGAGTAAATAAATATTATAAATTCACAACAATAATAGAGTACAAAAACACAGTATAACAAAGTCAATTCAAAGCCAAAATAAAGCAAAAAACAAAAGTGAGATCATCAGCTTGCTCTTTTGGTTTTTTCCCATTTATAGTATTTATTATATTATTCATATAAAACATGAGTAAATTTTTAAAACATGTTCTTGTACAAAACAGTCACAACCACAAGCTATAAAGTTTTCTCAGACAGCTTGAGGGTGAACATAGCTTTGTCTTAGACCTAATATCAATTGTGAGAGGCAAACATTCACTTTACTGTCAAACACAGTATTTTGTGGGATTCTATTCAACCAGAGTTTAAAATGATAGAAAAAAATAGTATGTAGTCTATTCATTTAAAATTTCAGTATTAACCATTTTGTTTCAGTTTTCAAGTCTCCTTGAGGCAAATCTGCATCAGATACATTTTGGGTTTTTTTTTAATTTTTTTTATTATTTTTATTTTATGTGTATTCTTGTATTGACTGCACGTAGGTAAGTACATCCATGTCAGACAAGGCCTGCAGAGGACAAAAGAGGCTGTCGGATCTCCTGGAACTGGAGTTATGGACAGTTGCTAGCCGCCATGTGGGTGCTGGGATTCGAACCTGAGTCTTCTGCAGGAGCAGTCAGTGTTCTTCACTGCTGAGCCATCTCTCCAGCCCCACATTTTGAGGGTTTTGTTGTTGTTGTTGTTGTTGTTTGTTTGTTTGTTTGTTTTTAGTTGAAAAATTTTAGATTTTATTTTTGTTTACTTAAGAAAAATATTTTATTTTTTCAGTATAATTACTTGTCTGAATTTCTACTCGCTCTTGCTAGTTAAGATACAAAAACTTAGGAGACTGGGAAGGTGGCTCAGCAGTTAAAAGCACTAACTGCTCTTGTAGAGGACCCAGGTTAACTTCCCAGCACTCACATGGCAGCTAACAACCTTCTAAAACTCCAGTCCAAGGTGATCCGACAACCTCTTCTGACCTCTGTGAGCACTGCACAGCAAAGATGCACTTATGTACATGCAAGCAATACACTCATACACATAAAATAAAATGGAAATAATAAAATATATATTTTACTTCCAATATTGATTTTTTATAATAATTTTTAATAACTACATGATTAGAAGAACCATTTCATTCTAGGTTTAACATATTCAGTAACACACTCCAGAGCAAGAGTGCATATCTTT